TTGTGAGACAATAGTAGACTATACGGACTATAATTTTGTAAAATGTACATAAATGGGCTTGCCAATAAGGAAGCCCAAAAGATATGAGTGGGGAAAGAGAGAAGTCCACCAAAGGAGTTGGATCAAAATAACAAGGGAAAATTACATATAAATGGAGTTAAAGTTCCATATTTACTTAGAGGCTGAGTCAAAGTTCTATATTTCTCTAAAAGGGATTGCTGAGGTGGCACATGGTTTTTTACTGTTTAGAAATTGTGATGCCTAAAATACCCTTCCGCGAAGGTACTACTTTTTCTTCAAAGGTACTACTTTTTTGAACTGAAGGTACTACTTTTTGGCGTCCAGGTACCATGTTTTTTAAACACTCGCGAAGGTACTACTTTTTCTCCGAAGGTACTACTTTTTTGAATTGAAGGTACTACTTTTTTGAACTGAAGATACTATTTTTTTATTAGGGAAGGGCATTTTAGGCACCACAATTTTTTAAACAGTAAAAAATCATGTGCCACCTCAGCAATCCATTTTAGAGAAATATGGAACTTTGACTCAGTCTCTAAGTAAATATGAAACTTTGACTCCATTTATATGTAATTTTCCCAAATAACAAAGCCCGATGATACCTTTTTGTGAAGTTGAGGAATGAAGGTATCTGACATACCAAGCCCGTAGTGCTCTAGATTCAATTCCAACCCACAGGTTATATAGTTTACATTTTGAATACGGAAACCCTATATATATATATATATATATATATATATATATATATATATTATACACACACACATCTATGTGTGTGATATTAACTAGTGATTATTATTATTTATATTAGATAGTGATTTATACCATTGGGTTACTTATAAATAATCCAAATTAATTTAACTTTTCATGAATACCGTAGTCCAATAGTTAGTTGCTTCTGGGCAAGGGCGGAGCCAAGAATTTGGTTCAGGAACATGTTAACACTGATAAAATAATTTTTTTCTAAACAAGCCGAAAATATAATAGCGCAACAACATTACATTAGAATAAGTGAATAAAAAGAGAAAAAAGAAAAGAAAAAAAGAAGGTTATTGCAGATAAAGTATGCATAAGTGCAAGAAAAAAGAAATTTTTAAGAAGAAAATAAAATAAAAAGGAAAAAATATGAGAGGATTTTGAAAAAGAATTTTGAGAGAAGATGACAAAAAGAAATTTGAAAAATGAAAAAGAAAAGGATAAAGAATTAAAGACGTTTTTAGAAATAGATAATTTTTGAGGAGATAATTTATAAATTTTATGACAGTATTTTATAAATATTTATAAATTATATGTTTAAAATAAAATAAAATATAGTGGATTCAAGGAAAAAAAATTATTTTATTAATTTTAGAGAGTGATTTTATTAATTTTTACAAATTTATGCATAATAAAAAAAAATAATAAAAATAAAAAAATTTAGTGGACCAGCATGGGGCAAGGGAGCACATGCTGGCTCCGCCCCTCTTTCTAGTAACCCATTTCAAACTTTTGCACTTTACTAATTTCTAATCTAAGCCACGAAAAAATATAAAATAATAATAATTTCTTTTCAAATCGAAATTTCAGTCCTAATTGAAAATTCGGGTTCAAAAATGTCAAAAGCTACTCAAGTTAGGGCCTGTTTGGAGGCCCATATCTGTTATTGTTTTCAAGTTTTGGTTTCATTTTTAGGCCAATATCATGTTTGGAGTGGGTTGATGTGGTATTGAACATTGTAAAAATATTATGAGATTTGGGCCAAAACCCATATCAAAGAATTGGTGATATTGAGTGATATGGTTTACTGTAGCGGCCATACCAACCCAAACTAAAACCATATCAACCCTCATTTAACTGTAGCGGTGATATCAAGTATAAAAAATCGCATATCAGAACCGAGCCATTTTTCATCGTCATTTTCTCTCTCATCGCGCAGCTCCTTTGGAGGCGATTTCATGGGCGATTGTTCTTCGTTTTCGTTACACCTTCGTTCTTAGGCTACAGATCAATCAATCCTCCTATACTTGGTTTTCAGCTCATTTGTCTCTCTGTTATGTATTTGTGTGACCCGAATCTGAAACCCTAGATTGTTCTTCATATTCATTTTCTCTCTCATCGCGCAGCTCCTTTGGAGGCGATTTCTGAAGCCGATTGTTCTTCGTTTTCGTTACACCTTCATTGCTAGGCTACAGATCGATCAATCCTCCCGTACTTGGTTTTCAGCTCAATCGTCTCTCTGTTAAATGGAGTGTGACCCGAATCTAAAACCCTAGAGTTCTTCGCAACCATAGATCGACGCTTCTTCTCTGGAAATTTCTGTTGGTCATACATTCTGTGTATCGATTTCGTTAAGGGCGATTCTTTCAAGTGCTCTTTCTTTCTCTCTCTCTATATATATATATACAGTAACAAAATTCCAGATTTAGTTCCATAACTATAGTTCCACAATTCCATATTCTTTCAATAGCAAATACAGTAGCATAATCCAGATTTAGATATAGTTTTATTCTCTGCAAAGTGATGAATAATTCTGTGTATATAGAAATGGGAGTGCATAATTTCATAACTCAATTTTAATTTTATAGCTAAAAAGTAAAGCCTATTTCAGCAACTTATGAAAATTTATAAAGTATCATTCAAACCAATTATTTGAAAATTTAGCCTTTGTTAGTAACTGAGATCATATGACATGTTTAGAAATATAAATTGTCTGATTCAATTAAATTAATAAATTAGAAATAAGCATGAGATTAAAAATAAAATACCTAACTTTATGTCATACAATCCCTATCCGGCCTTATTATATTGTAATTAGATGTGAGATTTTTGTATCCTCATATTTTATGCAATTACCAGGCACAATAAAATGTGAGATTATAAGTTGCATTACCTTGAATCTGATACGTTGAGAGAGTTTTAAGATTTGAAATCATATACTTTGACAGATGTAATATAATAATTCTTGTCTGTGTAATTTGAAGGTAGAAAATTTAAGAACAATGTAGGTTTGGATCGTGATTACTGTATGTTGTTCACGTGTTTGGTTTTTCATGAGGTCATTTGCACTCCAAATTTGCAACATAGCCTGAAAAAAGGTTAGATATATCTTGCTTAGTACTGTTAAATTACTTCATTTCTACCATGTATTATTTTGTTTATCTCTAATGTAGTTCATGTGTTTGGTTTTGCATGAGGTTATTTATACTCCAAATTTGCAACTTAGTCTGAAAAAATGTTAGATGTATCTTGTGGTTGTTGGAATAGTTTAAGAGCAAAATAGGCAATTTTACTTGGATTTGTGGATTAATTTTGTGGGCGGTGTCCCTTATAAAATTGATTGAATGAATTTTGTGAGCGGTGTCCCTTGTTGAAATAATTTTGTGGACGTTGTCCCTTGTGTTTATTATGATAGGTTCAATTTTGAAAATGTCTATTTTTAAGGAGAAACCATGCCGGATTTTCGAAAAAAAAAAAAAAAAAAAGGAATTTAAACTTTGATTCCAAAAAGGCATGTGGTTGATTTTTTAAACTTGAAATGGATTTTTGAAATATATAACAGTAGAAAAATGTGAAAAATATAATTGTGAAACATATAACAATTTTTCAAGCTTAGTAAAATGCAGCTGTTTTGTGGTGGAGTTGAAGGACATGGTAATAAGTTATGGGCAGTGGCACCGGTGGGATTTATAGGAAGCATTCTCCAGTTGTTGCAACTCCAGGAAGCTGGTGATCTCTAACTTAAGCAAATGGAGGCTTATGCAAGTATAAAGAAGTGTGTGTACATTTTACGGAATGAATTTTAGTGATTTCTAGATGTAGGTGTGTACATTTTATGTAAGTATAATGAAATGTATATATACACACATATTAATTTTAAGGAATGTCTAGCTCCCTATACGTGCAAGTATATATGTGAATGGTGCAACAACAATTTATTAAGTTTGTGATGTACCAAAAAAACTTGTCATTTCATGTCTAGCTTCCTTGATTGCTTGCTTCTAATAATATTCCTATTTATCATTTCTAATTATGGTTGGAGATTGTATGAAATATTCAGAAGTTGCTTATCAAAATAAATACTCAGAAAAAGGAGAAATGGTCTCAAGAGTTAATAATAAAAATATTAACACTTTGAATGATCTCCAACACAAAATTTTAAACTAATCTCAGTGAAGTAAACCCATTCACAAGCTTCAATGTCCACGAAGCCTCAACTCCTGACCAATTCAAGAAGATCAACGTTTTGGCTTTACTTTTTGTTAGTTTCAACTACAAGGATCTCTCTCTATCATTCATAATGAATTTAAATAATATAAATATATATATATATATGAAATAAAACAAAGTTAAATGGAGCGCAAACCAAAAGAAAAAGATAAATAGAGTGCAAAGATCTGCTCTCATTGAAAGATTATTACAAAGTTAGATTTGTACTTTGGTTGCCACTAATCATGTCTATGCCTCATAAACATCCCACATGATCTTATTTATACATGTAAACTTATTCATAATTTTTTTTCCCAACTCTTTAATGCAAAATATTTTTAGTTTAACAAATTATGTTAAATCATAAAGAAAATGGATTATTACATGTAAACTTATAATTGTATTCATATATATAATTATTTAAAACAAAAACAAAACAGACTTTACCAAACATGTATTCTATTATTGATTCAGAATTTTTGAAAACAAAACAAACTTCCCAAACGTGTTTTGTTTTCGAATTCTTTAAAATGCATAACATTGCCAAACGTATTTTCATGTTTTTGATATACAATTAACAAAAACAAAACACTCGTTATCAAACATGGATCCGATTTCTATTAAAAACATACCAATACCAAAACGATTGTTTTCATATCATACCAAATCATAACATATAACGTTATCGCGATCCAAACAGGCCTTAAGTTTTGAACCTCTAACCCGCCCGAATCGCAGCCCACCCATAGAACAAACCCAATTTCTACTCGACTTCAAGCCCTACTGTTTCGTTTATGTTCCCGTCTCTCTGTGTGCAACCTGCATTCCAAAGTATATACATACATACACGTATATGCAGGCATAAAGAGAGAGAGAGAGAGAGAGAGAGAGGAAGGGGTTGGGAAAGAGGATTGAGCAAAACCCTAGCTTCTCTGGCCGATCAATGACTGGTCATCGGCGCGAAACTTTGGCATCTTCTCGGCTCTTCTCTGGTAAGCTCTCTCGCCTCTCTCTCCCTCCCTCCCTATCTCCCCGAGAGGGCCGAAACCCTAGCTCTCATTTTTCTGAACTTCAGGAATTTTGATTCTATAGCTTTTTAATGCACGAAACTTATATTACTAGATGAACCTCAATTTGGATTTCCATGTAGAATAAGCTTCAATCTCAGCAATGCTCAGTGGCATTCTATGAACTACTTCATAAAATTTCCAGACTTTAGCTTCATGGTCCTAGTATGGAATCTCACGCGGTATATTTCATAATAGTCCATGATGTTAAACTCACAAATTAATGGATTATGGCTCTCAGGAATTTGTTTGTCAGATGTCAAGCCAATTTTATAACTCCAGACACATTTATGACATATTTTAAAGATTATCTTCCATCCTAAAGAACAAAAATTAAAAATCTTAGGAGGAACATCCTCGTAAATTAGTAAATTGTCTTGTTAATTTCCAAGGTTCAGTATTTGTTTATCTGCAAGACACTTAAATTGATATTGCTTTGCTCTTTTCCCCTAATTTTTACTTCATTACTTGTTCTGGTGTAGTTCTCTTTGAAGTTTACTGAAGTTTCTGCCTTTTAATGTGTTTTTGTTGTTCCCAGAGGAAAATATTAAACTAAAAGAAAAAAAGAAAAGGAACAGATCTTCAGGGCAGAAGAGAAGAAACAAGGAAAAGGGGGAAGAGATTGAAGCCACTGAACTCAATCAGTTCAATGTCAATGGTGAAAATATATTTGACCGACTAATTGTGTGTTTAAAGGAATTTAATTTATGGGTTATTTCTTATGCTAATTGGGTAACTTTTATGGCTTTTAGCTTTTAAATCAGATGAAGCAATGGAAGAAAAGAAGAACAATTTGTTGCGGGTTAAGAAAAGAAAAAATTCAAAGATAAATGAAGTTGAAATCTCTGAAGTTGATGAGCTCCACAATGAAGTGGAAGATGGTTTCGATGAAGAGATAGGAGTAGATGCAGCTGGAGAAAAGAGAAAGAGCAAATTGAGGAAAAAGAAAAGAAAAAATGCAAAGATAAATGAAGTTGAAATCTCTGAAGTTGATGAGCTCCAAAATGAAGTGGAAGATGGTTTCGATGAAGAGATAGGAGTAGATGCAGCTGGAGAAAAGAGAAAGAGCAAATTGAGGAAAAAGAAAAGAAAAAATGCAAAGATAAATGAAGTTGAAATATCTGAAGTTGATGAGCTCCACAATGAAGTGGAAGATGGTTTCGATGAAGAGAAAGGAGTAGATGCAGCTGGAGAAAAGAGAAAGAGCAAATTGAGGAAAAAGAAAAGAAAAAATGCAAAGATAAATGAAGTTGAAATCTCTGAAGTTGATGAGCTCCACAATGAAGTGGAAGATGGTTTCGATGAAGAGATGGGAGTAGATGCAGCTGGAGAAAAGAGAAAGAGCAAATTGAGGAAAAAGAAAAGAAAAAATGAGAAGATAAAGAAATCAGACATTGTCAAAGCCAAGGATCTCTATGATGAAATTGAAGATGGCTATGACGAACAAAATGGTAAGATTGGAAGTTTATGGTCTTATTCTTTTTCTTCTTATATACCTCAGAAACAAGGAGTTCCATAAAAAAGGTTTTAGAGTGTGAAAATCTTGATGTAGGAAGTTCTACAGCTTATTGTGCAACAGGTCTGTTCTTTTCTCCTATTCTGCTTTTTGTTATTTTGAATTTCTATGGTGGTGTTTCTCTTTGTTTTTGCAATGCATGCATACAAAGTGCAAAGTGTAAAATGAGAAGGCCATATAGCGTTTTCTTTCTTAGAAGTTGAATAGGGTAAAATTGTCAAGGCCAAAATTAGGCTTGTGGCTGGAACTTTTGAAAAGCAGCAATGTCGCATCTGTTTGGGCTATCTGTAGCATTAATAGTTTATTGGCAGTTGGTTCCGTGGTAACTGGTGTTTTTACAAAAATGTCCTATTGACTGGTTTTGCTGGCCAAGGAAGCAGACAATGCAGAGACTTCATTAACCTTATTCTTTTAGATGGAGTAATATATTTGGGCACGGTCGATAGGGTATACCACATCCTGGCATCTTCACTGTAATTTTTTTTTTTTTTTTTTTTGTGGGTTAGGTAAGTACTCACACACACATTTCACAAATTTCCCACTACAGGGCTTGAACCCCTCACCTACCCTTTGAGGGAGGAGAGGTTATACCATTGGGCTAGTGGTCCATTGGTACCATTCAGAAACGTTGCTTAGGAACTAAGAATTATTTTATAGCAAAGAGTAAGATTGCTGGAATTAGAACATGGGGGCATTAACTTAGTATGGTGTTCCTTTGTTTAATTGTTTCCATCTTGGTAGCGGCTGAGGTGATATTTAACCTTCTTATCATTCATAGAGATGCAGGATCTACCTAAAAGAAAAAGAAAGAAAAATAAGAAATCATGTATTTAATGAGTATTAATAATGATTGAATTGTCTGTTCTTCCAAATGGCTGAATATTTATTAAACTGTTTCTTTTTCTTCCCCCTTTTTTGTCTTGGTATTTTGTGTTTTTTTGTCTTAAATTTAGTTATATCGAATTATCAATCTTAGACAATTGTGTTGATCCTTTTTAGTTATAGGCTTATAGCACATTCCTGCAGTTATAGGCTTATAGCACATTCCTGCAGGTATAGGCAAAGTCTTCAAGAATTCATTTAAATGCATAGGAAGCTACATAATACAAAGGGAGTTGCATAAATATTAAACTTGTCAAGGTTTAATTTTAATAGAGATATCAAACTTGTCAGGGTTCCCTAAGTTCACTATCCCAGTAACATCCATTTGTGTACTGCCTTATGGCATTTAAATTTGTTTCTTCATGCGTGCCCAATTATTTTGTATGGTCTGAGAGGATGGGGTTTAGAACTTTAGGTTGTTAATTTTACTCAAAAAGTGTCAATTTTATAGTCAAGTACAATTCATCCCAGACTTTCTTTTTTAGCATTCAGCATTAAGCTAATTATGTTTCATCTCAGATGACAGGTGGGAGCCGGCCAATCTGAGTTTCAAGATTGGAGTGAAAGTACTGAGCAAGCCAAAGAGGCTGATAGTAAAATAAATGCTATATCTTGTAACAAATAATGTGTCTTCATATGAGTTGCAGAAGTGCTTAGTATTATGCTGCCAAGCCTGCCATTGTAATATCAGTGGTATAGCGTCTTGTTTTTGTTATCCTGCAGTATTATGTCATTGAAATACATTCTTTTGCTGTAGGTAACTTAGAGAAAGCTTGTAAAGTTACAAAGGGCCATCTATCCTCAAAGGAAGATGGAAAGTTACTGGATAAGAGAGGAGAAACTGAACAAGATGAGGTTTATCATATATCTTCAGGGGATGAGGACTGCTCTAGAGGAATGAAAAGTATGAATTGTTGCTTTTAAAATGCACTTGTTTCACCTTTGGTAATTATATGTTTTAAACAGCTCACGATTTTTTGGCATCAAATACGTTCAACAGCCAGACAAATAAGATAAGTCTAAACTTAGTGTGTCGTAACTCTTGCTCTAAAACCTTTCTTCTGAGTTACTTGGGGTCAATTTGATTCAAAAACCTGTTTTATCATCCTTCTCCATCTCGTTTTATTACAATATAGGTGATTTGTTTATTTTTCCCATCTAGATTTAACTATTTAAGACCTCTTCAAGGTGTCTTCAATAAAACTACCTTCTTATAATTTGAGGCTTTTTAAGCTGATCAACATGCACAATTACATTCTTTTCTTCTGAATTTGTATTGGCGTTTTTCCTTCACTTCCATTAATTGATAAAATACTAAATGGTTTAGTTTCCTAAATATTCATTTCCTGCATAAGAACATAATGAGCGTTTCTTGACTTATAGAATGGACTATGGAATACTATCAAAGTAGACCAGGGTTGAAGATATTGCAACAAAGGATTGATGACTTTATAACTGATCATGAAGAACAAGAAGAGAAGGTATTTCCCCTCTCCCCCTCATGCACCTATCTGTCGATATTGTCATTGATAATTTCTGACACAAGCACATCAATGAATCTCATTATGTTTGCGCTTTTTATTTTCGGTTGATGGAGGGTAGTGTGTCTTGTGGAGCTTCTATTACATATAGATTTCTTTTTTCATGTGCATAAATATGTTATCTTTTGATTTAGGATGTGAAAAATGTTTTTAAGTATTTAATGTATGCCATTGAGGTTTTAAATTTTTTTTTTTCTTTACCCCTTGGCTATGCCATTGAGTTTCTTTCATGAATTCATGTCTTCTGAAATTTTGGCACATGTAGAAGTACACTGGTGGAAGTTTGTCCTGCGTAGTTGTTTATTATTATAATATATATATATATATATATATATATATATATACTATTTTTTTTCTGTCAGTAATATGTAATCAATCAATATTTAGGTAGATTGATTTATCCAGTTTATAGTGTTTTATCGATTCTATTTATTTGTATGTTGCCATAGAATTTTGACATCCTATTTAAGTTAATTTTGGCATCTAGTCCCAACTGTTCTATCATTCAATTTGTGTGGTGTCAGGCAAGGAAAGAAAGAGAAGAACTTGCTGCAGAAGACGGATGGACTGTTGTTGCACATCACAAGGGTAGGAAAAAGACAACAGATTCTGAAAGTGGGATTACTGTGGGTTCAGTTGCCCCTGCTGCTGTTCTGGATAAAATGGCTAAAAAGAAAACTAAAGAAGTTGGTTTAGATTTCTACAGATTTCAGAAAAGGGAGGCCCAGAGGAATGGTATGCTAATCTTGTTAAGTAATTTTGTTTTTACTATTACTTTTCTACAATTGTTAGCGCATATGTTGGTAGTACAGTTAGAAGATGTTGAAATAAAAAACTTAGAACGCAGTTCCAGATCACTTCCCATCTTTTTCTTTCCGTAACTTGATTTATAAATTTACATTATGATATATCTGATAAATCCCACATCTGAGACATGTATGCAAATCCATGTGTCACAGCTTATTGTACATTTGGTTTCTAGACCTATTTCAGCATATGATGAATTTGCACACATGTAAGTTATGTACCTATCAGAGTTCCTTGCAGTGGTTTGTTGGAGTCCGGATCCATGATAAGTTGGTGTTTGAATAGGAGTTTCTTTGCAGTCTAATGTGTTAAGCAAACTCATTTTGGTAGGCTAATTTTAGAAGTACACATCTTTTTTTCATGATATCGTTGCCACAAATTGTTTCAGTACTTTTCAATAGGGAAAGACTAAGCATAGCATAATGATTTACAAAGAGAAGTATGTTTCCCACATTGAGTGGGGTGATCCCTCCCAAGATATTCCTGTTCTGATATTGACAAATGGAATATCAAAGGTGGTGTCCAGAGCCAGAGCCTCTGTTTTAGGAATGGTTATTAAACTTCCAATCCGGATCTTATGATCCTGTGGGTGAGTAAGGTGGGTTTGCTTGTTTTTGGTGTCTGCAAGCCCAGTCCTTTGATTCATTCTACGACTTTGAGTATATTGTCAAAAAAGAAAAAGTTCGGCCCCGTTTACACGCCAATTAAACATGGGAGAGGATTAAAGCAAGCTTACATTGCCAATGCGTATGTCCAATAGCGGCCAACCGCATCAAAAACTCCTCGGCAAGAGGTTGAGCTTTCAATCAAATAATAGGATCTGACAAATTATCTTATGTAACAAAGAAGGTGGACAAAATTGCTTATGAGTTCAAACCCCATCTCTCTCTCTCTAAAGCTCAATAATTATGCTTCAATTTTTTATTTATTCTCTCTCTCTCTCTCTCTCTCTCTCTATGATATAGGCTCTCTTAGAGTATAGTTGGACAGGTAGCGTATTATTTTTTTTCCCCTTTATATGTCAAAAGATTTTCAGATAATGTATGTCACAGGATGATGATTTATGAAGTTTTTATTCAATATTTAAATCTAATATTGACTTGCTCATAGTTAGTTTGATATAAATACAACATTTTACTTATATATATAAATGCAACATTTTTTTATACTAATAATTTGTTTCTCCCTAAGGAATAATGGGCCAAAATCATTAGGGCGTGTTTGGAGATTTATGCATTCAGAATGCTCGTCTTATTTCTTCTATATTTTTTAATTTTAGGTTTTCTCATATGTCTTTTTTAAGAATTATTTAATGCACAAATACTTTTTAGTATATCTTTCTCATGTCTTAGATTCTTACGATTCTTTATCCGATTCCACAATCCGATCTTGAGGACTCAAATCGATCCAACATAGGATCTGGATTTTAATAATGTTGGTTTTATGGTGCTGTACAATTTTTAAAAATGGACTCCTAGGAAGTACGAACATGCCTTATAAATGCATCTTTAATTATTCATTAGGTTTCCTATGTCACATTTGCTGTCAATTTTATCAATGTTTAATTAATAATCCAAGAGAAATATATGTGGGTTATATATTTGTATATTGCTCTTTTCAGCCATTATTATATGATCTTGCAATTTATTTGTTTCAGAGATTATGATGCTGCAAAGCAAATTCGAGCAGGATAAGAAACGGATTCAACAACTGAGAGCTGCAAGGAAGTTTCGGCCCTACTGAATGCTTTACAGACTGAAATATCCCATTTGTTATATCAATTGTTACTATTTGAAAAGTAAACGGCTCATTGCGGTAACAATCTTTGATCTTTTTTCCCCTTTGTGAAGAGATGAGCAAAATCAGAAGCCAGCAATGGTAATTTATTGTTACTCATGCGAACAATTTGAGCTGAATTATTGAATGATGTACCTCTTAATTTTTGAATTACAGAGTATTAATTAGCTCAGTATGGTTTCTTTATTTTTGAATTATTATTTGTTTTAGCTCAATATGGTTGGTTGTATGAAAGCAACTAGTTTATATTCAAATCTAATAGAGGTGATAACTGATAAGTTGGCAAGGATGAGTTCCTGTTTATAAACAACAATCTGTACAAAAAATGTCTCGCGTGCTTTTCAATAATCTGTGCCTGACACTTTATCATACTCGAAACCTGTCTCGATCATGAGCTGAATGAAGAATTGACCGAAACGTCTTAAGGAATGGTGACGGAGACGCTGAGCAGCTGAATGATTTTTGTATCAGGTTCTTTATGGTGGCCAGAGACGAAGAATACGGTTCTCTTAGCAGAGAGAGAGAGGTGGTGAATGGTTGATGCAAATGGTACATTTTTGTAGGGACCAAATTGTCACCTATGGGCAACATAATTTCCTGGTAGATGCTATTTGAAATATTGTTGAGGCAACATGCAAATGGTGGTGTATTCCACATTAGAAGGCACAAACTTTGTTGTCAGCCAAGTGGTTGTGTGGTGCGTGTTGGTGCTCTTCTAATGGGAGCCACTTCAGGACAAGCGCCCGTGGTGTGTGTGTGTGGGTGCGCGTGCTGCTATGTCTGTTGGTAGTACTACCATTTTGATGCTGCTTGTACAAATGTTTGAGGTGGTGAATCAGTTCACGCACCTAGAAGGTCCAAGTCAAAACATGTGGAGATCAGGCATCTAAAATTGCTTTTGATTGTAATATGTGGTGATCGATGGTTAGGGTAAAGGAAAAAAACATGTATGATTATGAATCTGATTTTCGTTTTGTGATGGAACAAAAAAGGAAAATGATTACGAGACGTTCTATTATTTTAGAGCAATAATAGAGTTTCTGAAAGATGCATCATTCGGCATTCTGAGACTCCTTTTACGCATCATTCATTCGGCATTCTGAGACTCCTTTTACGCATCATTCATTCGGCATTCTCCCATATTCGGAGAATGTTTATTTTTCTTAACCACAAAACCTTGAATCCAGTCTGAACCCACTATCCACTTTTATTCCCACCATTGGTCGAATTTTGCATCCCTCTCACACATTACCCAATCATCCGTGTGGACCTAAGGGCTAGTTTGGTGTGGTGGAATGAATTGGAATGGAATGAGAATGGAGGTGGGAATGGAATGGGAATGGAGGTAGAAATTCTATTTGTTTGAGAGTGGAATGATTTTGATGGAATGATCATTCCATTTTCTTTTATTTTATTCCACCACATCAAACTAATCCTAAGAGATTCTCTTTCTTTTTAAGCACTCCCCTCACATATCACTCACTCATTCAGCATTATTTTTCTTATCCTCAATTCCTGGTGACAAGGTTCCTGATCAAATTTTGAACACCCAGAGTCTTGCCTCAATTCCTACCCAAAAACATAAGTACAACGAAGACAGCTGTGACCAATTTGTAGGAACCCTAATAATCACTCCACCAATCTGTACCATTCGAATATATTAGGGCCAAAAACAGATTTATGTAGGAGTTACGAATGATAAAAATATCACGCGCTTGAAAATCATTTGTCCAAACCTCAACCATTAGAAAATAACAGAATCCACTTATGATATCAAATTGAGATAATAATAATCAAAAGAACATACATATATTGATAATAAAAGACTTGTGAAACGGCACAAGTTTCCATGACAAGACAATATTAAGTAAAATGCTAAAAAGAAACAGACCACAACATCTGATCTAGAATTTATTTCTTTTCCACTTCATCTTCTTCATCGCTCTCACTCCAGCAGCCCTGTAGGGTGGACCTTGGACACCCACAGCAACCAACCTTCGTAAAGCTTCGGTAGACAAATGATCCTCCATCGCCAACCACTTTGTAGCTCCTTTCTTCACAGCAGTATCCTTTCACATTCAGAGAGATCTCAGGACCAGGTTCCTTACCCACAAGGTCGGTGTGCAACGCTATAGAAAACTCATTTGGTTCGAAGCAAGCCAACACCCTGTCGACTAGGTTCGACAAATTCACAATTTTGAAATCATAACCAGCTGCTTCAAAGCTTGCATAACTAAAGCCATCTTCCGGAGTAACATGGATTGTAGAAATTGCTTTATCTTCAATGGCATTCATAGAGTAGCCGCAAGGATCGAACTCAAAATCACATATATCAGAATCCGGAAGAATCATCCTAATACCAGAACTTTCAGTCATTGCAGCTGCAGAGCTTGCATGGGTCTTGTAGAACACAGATGCCTTCTTACGATCCAAACCAGTCATGCACATCTCCATAGTGTAAACCGCGTCTGAGGGATTCGCCATCTCAGCAGCAGCACAGTAAACATGCCATTTCTGTTGCTGCTCAGCACTACCCATCACATAAGCCTTGCTTCCAGAACCAAGTTCGCCAAAATAGCTATCAAGAATGTCTACCTCCTCAGAGAAGCTACGGTGGGGAAAGGACTGTGCACTAGGAAATATGAAGCTTCCACGAGTGTAGTTAACAGTTTTCACAGGGAGGGAAATAGAAGCAGCTAGCTTTAGGATGGAAGGAATTGCAAGAAGCAATTTTGTAGTTCCACAAGTTTTGATAATAATTTTGTAAGGGTAGACAAAGAGGCTGGATTCTGAAAGGACATAAGAGTCAACATGATCATTTGACAACGAAGAAACAATGGTGCATTCAGCAGGCTGTAGGATTTCATCCAATTGGGATCTAGATAAAGATCGGAGGCCCCTGCCTTCAGGGTCAACAAAGATGCCAGGCTCAAAAAAGGATATCTCAAGCCTCTTTTCATATCCTTCAAATCCAATTGCAGATACCGACAAGGCCATATTGACTTAAAATGAAAGACGATGCTAAGACGAGAAAAGCAGAAAAGAAACTAATACTAGAACAGAAAATTGGGCTGTAAACCACCTTTGGTGGTTATGTTGCAACGTAGAGAATCTCAGGATGGTTTCCGAGCACACTGCACACATAGAATACAGGATGAGATGTTAGATTATGTAGCATTTTAGGGATTGAAATTTTAACCATCAAGTACCATTATGAAATATGAATGAGAATAGAACAGAACTTACGTTGGAGTAAGCAGCAGATTTGAACTTCTGGATTCCACCGTGGGGTCGAACGTCTTCAATGCTATAACCTAGGGGAGCTTCATAAAACATGGATTTACTACTGCTAGACTTCTTCTTTCCACCTTTAGACTCCATTAGATCATTCAATTTTTTCCTGTTCAAACCATCAAAACATAAAATCAGAACCAATTGCAAAGAGTGACTTAACTAAGCAAAGAGAATTAAAACCAGCAGACAAGACATTCTTAAATAAAGAGGGAGGCCCTGTCATGAATAGAAAAACAGAACCACAAAAATAAACATATATCATATTGCCCTTAACAAAGCATATTGCAATTAACAAAGCATATCATAAATATTACTTGTGCCCTATAAGCAAAGGAACTCTACATGCGTGTTATTTGGAGAGAGAAGAATATGAAACTCTACATGTTCTAATTCATTAGAAGAAGTCTAAAGGCATTTGAAAACAACGTGAACAACATCAGCTCAATTAAGATTCCTAAAATTTTGAAGTTAAGGATATCACGTAACTGGTACTATGGAAAAAGTGAATTCAATTGCTAAAACAACATGAATTAATTTTGTTATTGTTAAAATTTAATCAGCACAAACAATTCTCTTGAATTCTTAATGAAATTAATCTTAAATCATAAAACAAAGTTCCATACCAAATTAAAAATAAATCTATGGCTAGAAAGGCCATAGATTTCAAAAGGGTAAAATACCCAGTTAAAAATCTATGGCTAGAAAGGCCAAAAAAGAATTGAAAAAAAAAAAATTTGAAAGAACAATTTCACATCAAAAAAAGGCAGAGGGAAACAGAGCAAGAACAAAAGCATAATAGTACAAAGATTCTAAAGCCACATGCAAAATAAATAAGAAAAGAAAAAAGAAACAATACACAAAACAAACATATATGTATAGGCATATAAACAAATACTTAGAAACGAGTATAAACAAACTCTACAAGAAACCCAACAAATACTTTTTAACGATCGTATAAACAAAACCCTAAAAAAAAAAATCAAAAAACAATTAGAAACGAGAATTAAAAACTATCATACTTACAGATATAAATTCTTGATATACAATACTAAATCTCTGAGATAAAAACTGTTCTTGGTCCCTTTTTGAACCTTCGATCAATGAAGCCCTATAAAACAAAAAAGATACACGCAAATCGTTTAGAATATATGAATGTATCTGAGAAACAATTGTATAAAACAAACCAACAATATATGAATCATTGTGAACTTACAGGTAGCAGAGCAACGAACCGAAAAAAACCCTAGATTGGACCTTTTCGACCAATATCAGAGATGGTAGAACCACCAGATATATAGAGAGAGAAAGAGGAGAGAGAAAGGGCGAGGGGCGAGAAATAATCTGCGTCTCTGTTAAGCGACAGAAAACTGGGTGAGATTGTGTTGCAATACTCGTAAGGCGGAGCGGATGTCTATATATAGGGGGTTCAAGCGTGGTGTTCAAGGATTGCCACAAACTTCGCAGAAATTTACTGTTCTACCAATCGGGATTGAACACGAACCTTTCAACTACCACTATTTGCCAGTCAATTGACCTTTCTACCCTTCACTTTAGATGGCATGAATAGTTATCCTAATTTGAGCATGTCTTTTTTTTTTTTTTTTTTTTTTTTAATACATATTAAAAAAAATCCACACAAAATATAATAAATCTAATTCTACATATATATCTTTAAATTTTTTTTTATAATACATTTTTAATAATAATAATTTACCTTGTTTTTTCCTGATTTTATTCGGCTTCTAAATTGTGTTTTTACTTGCTTGTTACTCATATTAAAAAGATTCTAAACAAAATACAATAAATCTAATTCTATCTTTATTTTTTTATATTTATAATGTATTTTTAATAATAATAAAATTTACCTTTTTTCCCAAATTTTATTTGTTTTCTAACTCTTTCTTTTTTCTTTTTCTTTTTCTTTTTTTTTTTAATTCTATTTTCTTTCTAACTCTTTTCATTTTCTAATATTTGTGTTTCTCTTTCTAATCATAAATATATGAGATTATTCGTTATATACCTGTCTAAATGTTTATACATAATCAGAATAAAAAAAATTAAAGCTGATAAAAAAAATAAAAAAACTAGAGAGGTCATAAATATGCTTATATGAAAACGATTTCATTGCAATATTATTTTTATTTTATTTTATTTTTTATGAATTTTAAGGTCATACGCGTGTGCATAAGACAACTAATTTATCTCAATTACTGATATCATTTATGACAATTAATTTTATCTCAATTACTGATATCATTTATGACAATTAATTTATCTCAATTACTGATATCATTTTGGTCTATAACCGTCTAAACACATTCTTAAATCTTGTAAATTTTATCGTGAAATTCAACCCCATATCTACTTTGAAAGTAAGTTACGTAACTACATTATTAAACATACATGAGTGGAAGTACGTGTATAACTGTAAAATAAAAAAAATTATATATATATAAGAAAAAATTTGCATTATTATTTATTATATAAAAATAATATTAATTAAGAAAATAAAAAATTCATAATAATTAAGTAATTTGTGTTAGAATTTTATAAAAACTCTTTTTGTAATAATAGGTAATTTGTGTTGGAATTTTATAGAAAATATTTTAAAAACTCTTTTATATTAATTAATAAAAAAAATTTGGACTTTGTTTATTGATATCCTTATTTTATTTTAGTTGGACTTTACTTATTGGTATTTTAGTATTACGTTCTCTGTCTCAATTTAAGTGTCGCTTATGGGAGTAGTAATTTTTAATGAGACATGTGGGACATGCATTGTCCTTCTGAAAAGTTACTAACTTGTCATTTTTAAGTTTTAAATATGTTGAATTTTTTTTACTCAACGAACATATATGGAAGATGTGAAATACTCAGTATATTATTTGAAAAAAGAAAATAGACACTTAATTTAGGACGGACAAAAAAAAAAAAAAAAATATATATATATAACATTTATTTTGAAACGGAAGGAGTATATTTTAGTTAGAATTTGCTTATTGATATTTTATTTAAATTTTTTTATTAAATTAATTATAAATCAATAATTTGAAATTTTTTAACCCCTTGTAATTTTAATAATAGTAATAGTATAGATATATATAACCTAAACTCTATATTGGATATTGGTATATAATTTTTTCTGTTTTTAATAATAATGTTGTAACTTGTTCACAAAAGAAAGTACGTATATCATGAATAAAAAAAAGAATTGCTTTTTGGGGGTATAGTATTGAAATCTAAACCAATCAACCAGTGCCACGTATGAAACTTGAGTGCCACAGATAAAGCCACGTCCTCAAGGTAATAGCTCTCAACCGTAACACGTGTCCTGCATTTAATCCTCCTCAATATTTGTGGTGCGATGGACGATAAGATGCCTCAGTTAGCTGGATTGTCGTCGTCTTGTTTGATCCTTCTACTCATTTCCAGGCCCAACTTGAACTCTTCTTCCTCTGGGCCCACTTCATGGGTCCTCCCTTCTTGATGAAAATTTTTCAACCTTTTTTTTTTTTTTTTTAGGAGAGAGATTTTCTCTTTCTTACTATCCAAACGCCTATATTTTTTTGTTATTTTTTAATTCACTTTCCTTTTTTGCTAGTATATTCTAATTTAATCAAATGGAGCCTAAAATCATAGCATTGCAGTTAACATAATTTCAAAATAAATGTCACGTTTTAAAGTTTTAATATTTTAAGAGTATGAACTTTAATATTTTATTATTATATTGATAATGAATGAATTATGTTCATAAATATGTGATGATTTACTTTTTACAATCTCAATGCAAATGGCTAAGTTAATAATGTTATAAAAATAATACTTTAACTTTTTAATTGAGATATTTATTTTGAGACACTCAAAAATAAAAATTTATTTTGAATATAATATAAGTATAAAACACACTTGTGCAAGTGGGTTATATTTAGCATAAAATATTTATTATTTTGAATATAATATAAGTATAAAACACACTTGTGCAAGTGGGTTATATTTAGCATAAAATAATAACCTTCTAAAGTGTTGGAGGATAAGAATGCCATATCAAATAGAAGAATCATCATGAGCTGGTTACACTCTTTACACACATCCATGTAGGAAGAAATGATGCCACGACAAAATGACTAGATTAATTATTCGTTAAACTTTACATACATCAGCTCCAGCTAGGGCTTTTTTTTTTCCCCTGTTATTAGATTAACAATCCAGTTAATAAAGTAATTGGGGTTTCTGGTATAATAATAATGAACAATGTTGAAGGGTAGGTAAGGAGAAAACTTCAACCGAATCCTTTCCCTAGGATATTTAGGACTTTAGCTGCAATCTCCGAAAAATTATTACATAATCCCGATCAATCAGAAGCTGTTACCCAAACAAATGTGTCAATTTTATTCATTATTTTGCTGGATGTCAACTTTTGTTTGGGTGACTATTTTTGATTAGATAGGACCATATAATAATTCCTCGCAGATTCACTCTGGGTCCCACTACAATGCTTCCTATAGAAGCAAAAGCTTTTGCCGAAGATTTTGGTCCCTACATTGCCATAGTATAGATACCTGAGAAATTAGAGAAGTAGGTAAGAATGTCAAAAAGAAACTGTATCCAAGACAGGAGTAAAGAGATTGTATCCAAAATTCCATCTTATTAGCTACCACAGTGGCATTGCCACTTTGTCTTACAAAAAATTCTCACATACAATATCACTCACTCTATAATCACGGGCAAATATGACATTTACTACATGCAACTATTGAACAAAAATTGTGTTATGACAATGAAATGGTCAAAATTTAATATACAGATTGACAGAGACAAGATTGTCAGACAAGGAGAAAAAAGAAAAAAGAAAAAAGAATCAGTATGTATGTATTGACAAGTTGGCCTAGCTACTTTTCAATGTGAAGCACCTTCAATTCATCTGGGGTTGTGGCTGCTTTTGCTTTCCACTTGATTCTGCTAGTTTCTCATTATTCTTTTCGTACTGCTGCTTCAGTTCCTCCAAATGCCTCGATACCTAACAAGTGACCAAAACATACATACACAAATGACGAGAAAAAAACGATGACAGCGACAACTAATAAGTAGTCTTGCATACCCAAGAAAAATAGGAAGTACTACAAGTAACTTATATTGAACTGGAACATTTTATTTTCTACTCATTTTTTTTTTTTTTGGCACTCCTATGCACACATGCCAGAACCTATAAAACACCGATACCTCTATAAGGGAATAAGAGTACCCATACCGAGTATTCATACTTGTCAGATATTTGGTGATATGTCTTTGATACTTCTTAAACATACCCATAACTTCAATATATATATATATATATATATATATAGATAGATATTTAAATTCTCAAAAGCATATCCCATACTCCTCAACTACTCCATATGGAATATGTTTTCTTAAATCATAGTATAATTTTTAGGAACATATAAACTATATGTTCTCATCCCATCTCCACCTAGCACACTTTCTGAAGTTAGTTGTGTCTTGAAGATTCCTATAAGTCAGTTCAGGGGTGAAGATTTAAAGATATGGGTTTCACTTCAAATGGGAAATGGAGTGTTAAGACTGCTTACAAACACAAAACGAGGATCTAGAACATTTGGATTATTTAAGAACAAGAATTTCTCCCAACTTGTCAATCCTAAAATATTCTTTTTATTTTTGGCAGTTAAATCCTAAAATAATTCAACTTACTCTCCGGTTTCTGAATTAGCATTTTTGTTACATTACAAAGCACCCCTCAACTCTTAGGATGATGTTTCTATCTGCCATCGATAGATTACAATCGAGCTTATTTATAGAACACATTAATGCTCTCCCAACCATAGGGGAGGATGGCTCAGACCTAATGATCAAATCAAGGTTCCAAAACAAGAAGTGGCACCATATAGGAGGATTTTGGTGCAGGTGAAGTGAGGTGGCATGCTAGAAACAAAAAATATAAATATATCATAAAAAATGCCAGAAGCACAATGCGTTTTCTTTTTGCAGTTCAAGAAAAATTAAAAGAAAAAGATAAAGTAAAGTAGCATGCCGATCATAAGAAGAATCTTTTCACACAAACAACCTATCGATAATCTAGAGAAAAATGACATGCAAACCTCAGCAATGAAAAAAGATTATAATAATTAGCATTCTAGGAGTTCATAATATATAACGCCAACACGTGCATAGGAGAGAGAGAACCTTGATTGAGTAGGCCATTGGTAATAGAGTATCTGGGTTCATTGCATCCTTAGGGAAGTTGCGCAAAGAATGTATGAGTGTCTCAAAGGGTAGTTTTATCTGAACAAAAATATTATCTTTATATAAGCAGAGAATTACAAGTTATTTGGATCTAATGGGGACACAAAAATGAGAAATCGTGAAATACTTACCAAATCATTCTGGCAATGCTTCAGTAGGGCCAAACCAACTTTAAAAACAATTTTTACCCCCTGGTCCCGAAAAGGAATAATAGAATCAAGTTCAATTCCACATACCAATCCAAGGGAAAAACATATGTATAATAGTGCTAGCCCCAGTGCACGAGGATCCCGCCATTACGGGGTCTGGACAGGGTCAGATGTACGCAGCCTTACCTTCGCATGCGGAGAGACTGTTTACCATTTCGAACCCATGACCTTCTAGTCACAACCGGTGAGCTAGGGCCAGCCATCGGGGAAAAAATATAGGTAATTAAGATTACTAACCTCAAAGAGAAAGGCATCCCATATTCGAAGGGACAAATGGAATGGGAAAGAGTACGAGAAAACAGTTATGAACCACTGGCTCGCATACATGCTAGGATTTATCATTTCTTGTGTAAAATGCTCTCCCAATTTTGGCAAGTACTCTCTCATCAAATGGTCAAACTGAAAAAGATATTGCTGTACCAGAGGCAACCCAACCTACTCAGTAGCATCAGATAACAGTTTTAAGAGTTCCAAAATGTGTTTAAAATGGACAGAGAAAGTAAATAAAAGGCTTTGACATAGTAATCAACCAAAGTAAGTTTAATAGAACTAAGTACTTTCTATGACCAGGCACGGACCTAGTTAAGGCCCAGTGGGGACATCCGCCCCCACTGAAATTTTTTCTATTTGCATTTTTGCCTATATATTTTATTAAAATTTAAAAAATGCCCTCACTCATTTTGTAAAATTACTCCACTTCACATTTTTACCACCACTGATTTTTTTGGATCTAAAGGATAATCGTCTCTCTTTTTCACTCTGTACCGTCTCCGCATTAATGGTAATCAATTCTCTCTCACACACACTCATATTCCCACCCAATTTTTTAAAAAAACCCACTATATATTATTGCACTTTTAGTCCAAAATCGGCTCTCTTGTTTCTTCACCCTCTACTGCCTCACATCTAAAAGGTCATAAAATCTTTGTCTCGCACCAACACATGTTAAACACGACCCGGCACGAGTCAAACAAGCCACAAAAAATAAAATTCTTATATATTTAATAATAGCACAGCGTGTGGAAAGAAAACTACAAAGAAAACAACACATCATATATAAACCTATGGAAAATTCAATGCATCCATGAAAAAAAGAAAGAAAATTACTTTACCTTCCTTTTCAGCATATTTTCAAATTAAAGAAACAAAGCTCGGATATTTTCAAAGATTATCGAAAATCTCTCCAACCAAATCTACCACATAAGCAAAAGGCAGCAGCTCCAAACATGTTGAATAATTCAAGAAATATCAAATACAAAATTTTGAGACCAACAGAAGCTATAATTTGAAAATAATATTATCCACTGTGTAATTAAATTATTGACAAATACTGAATGCACAAAACACAATATCAGTACATATTATCTTAAGATGCAACACCCATACCATCATGCTTACAAATTTCCTCTAATCACAAATAATAAAGAATAAATTAAGATAGTTCATTTTAATGGAAAAACTAATTTAAACTAAAATTTATTGTTCCAATGGAAGAGTAGCTGATTATCCAACTTGTCTATTCATTATTTTTTTCTTGTACAGCAGTTAGCACAGTAATTTGAAAAGAACTGATTATCCGTAGGCTAAAATTTCCTAACCTTCACGTCTTCACCTAGCATATTAAAATAGTCAGGAACTCCACATCTATGTTACTGATATAAATAAGCTAGCATACTAAGGTGTACCTTGCATCATGATGCAATAGCAGAACAACGAATTTGGTTTAGAGCAAGTCTACCGTGAAGGCACTCTCAGTGAGCTCACCTCACACCCTCATCATAGCCTTTTCCTTTGGTTCATGCAGAAACCATTTCTAAGAACTTCATATGCTTTCAATATACACATTATCCATAAGCACTCTGTATTATGGTATAAACCAAATTAAGTCAAAAGTTATAATGAACAACACCCTATTAATTTTATGATTTGTTCAGGAAGTTAAGGCATTAAGCGGACATCAGTTCTTCCTCCTAATATTTTAATAAAGTCGTAACTAGCAAACGAACCATTTTTGCTCTATTTAACACCACATAATTTGTTCATCAAAACTTCTCAATATTTTGGACAGGTCTCTCACACAATAGTACAAAACGGTTAAAATCACTCACCAATTATATATTTGTAAGCTAAGCCAAGTTCATCCTAAAAGTAAAGTCAACATGTTCCAGGACTAAAGAAGTTACCAAGTATAATCCTTCCATTGGAGCATGAACAGCTCCTTTCAGTAACGCCACCAATAACCAAAACGCATCTTCTTCGCTCATATAGAGAAGCAACAGACCAGCGATAAATCCCATTCCCTGTAATAATTAATTAAAATAACAATTTAGTATCCCTCAAAGAGTAAATAGAACAGTGATGGGATCTATGATCATAAAACCTGAACATATCCAACATCTCTATAATAAACAGAGTATGCCTTCAAAACATTGTACAGGGACCGTTGACCAGGTCCATGTCTCTGCTGAAAGAAAACATGTAAAGGGAAGGTACGAGATATGTCCCGAATTATATCCAGTTCAGAAGCCGACGTCTCATAAATTACTAGTTGCTGCAGCAGCCAAACAGTTCCATTAGTATAAATTAGAATGATAATTTGAAATAGATCTTTGAAGAGGGAATAAGCATTTGGAAGGGATAGACCCGAAATATAATCAAGGACTATAACAAATGAAGGAAGAATAGGAGCTTCAAGAATTTTATCATGAATCCCAACCTCTTATGAATTCACTTAGATCACACCCTAACCAACTTCACTAACTCAAGAATCAAAGGAAGATAAGGTCCTTTCAGATTTCACCCATCAAAACCCCGACCTCCTTAAAAGGAAATAAAATAGAATAATTAAGAAAAATAACTCACTAGATTAAAACTAACAAAATTGATCTCTCTATATTCAGAACTTGACAAGTCTATGATTGAATTTGGTTATTACCTTGCTGCATATATCTTTTAATGAACTCATAGCCAATTAATTTGATAGCATTATAGGCCAAATTTCACACAACTTTACTTATTACGCAAATATGTAACACAAGTTTCAGGATCACTTAGTATAAGAATGAAATTAGTTAACTTTTGATTATGCAACACTAAATCAGATACCTGTATATATATATAAATATATATGTTTATTTATTTATTTCTGGTTCAAATAAATTTTTAGGAGAAATTCTTCTGTTGAATGTGCCCAGAGGATAGCTAATTTGTCATGAGAAATAAAGAACACAAGTTTGCAGCGAAAATATATCAGCTCAATCACACTATTCATATTGTAAAAATAAGGGAAGGGAGAAGCTGTGTAACCTTACAGTTACTTTTAGAACTGTCTCTATTTTACCACAATTTATGAGAGGTGGGAGTGCTAAGTGACACTGTGGCATATAAAATTTGATGTGAGGAAAGGAAAGAAATTACCTCATAAACACCAGGGTTCATCAGCAAGAGATCCCGACTTCCTGACATCAACTGCCAGACAAGACCCCTCAAACAATCGGGAATTCCTTTTCTTATACGTCGTTTGACAACATGAGGCTTCCTCCTAACATAATGTTTCCAATCACTACCTCCAATTCCAATCATTTTCCTCCATTTTCTAGTCCTTCTTTCAACCCTGAAAATTCCCTCATTGATTATAGCATACAGAGATATACATACACAAATGTAATCAATTTATTCAAATAAAACATAATAACTTTTCTTTTTGGTACAAAAACAAAACCCCTAGAAGTTCAGTTATTTGTGTGCGTGCACAAATATAAATGCATATACAGTCATTGAAGCTCTTAAGTTTAGGTTATAGAAAGATACTACAGACATAAGTCTATAAAAGCCAATAGTTGATGTACCAAAAATCATATATTTTCTTTTGAAAATGAGATTCTGCTTCAACTAGAGTTTAGAAACCCTAGAAGTTCACAAGACCATTTAGTTGGTAGGTTGACTTTTTAATACTGTAAGTTTTAAAATTTATAACATACCAAAGAGCAATCAAACAAAAGGTATCAGAGTTCATGGCAATACCTTTGGAAGAATATTAGTTTTTCCATAATACAACTATGAAATCAAGGCTGCCTAGTTTATTGCTGAAAATTCCAAAAGAATGGACATCCATAGGAAGAAGGCATTAGGGCAAGATATGTATAGATAAAAGTCTAGCTATGTTAAATGACCTTGGGCACGTGTGTCGTGTGCGGCTATTTATCCAATAGTTGGACAAGTCAAATCCTAAGACAAAGGAAACATGGACATTGAGGATATTCACATTATTTATTTATTTATTTTATTTTTATAGTAAAATCATGTCTTTATGTAACAGTGTTGAATATAGAGTTATAGACCTTTAACTCGTTTTAAAAATGTAACAGAACTTGAATTGCTGGATAGATTTTCGGTGCATGTCCAACCATAAGTGTCGGTCATATATATGACAGACTCATACCCATGGCCAAGTATTGTTGTTCAACACCCATACATCACCTGCTTTTGAAGATTCCATGTAACATAGAGCTCTAGTAGCACAAATGTTTCCTTAACATATGGTAAATGTTACAAATGTTGTCACTACAAACACCATAACAAAATGACCATTTCACATTAACACCTTACTCCTAGTCAATTCATAGGTTCACTATAAATGCAATATATCACAAAACAAAAGGTATCAAAATGTTGTTCCGAAACAAACAAAATGCAAATCATTTTTTTGACAGCACACAGAATTGCTCTGTACAAGAATCACATACCTCTGATACTCGAAGGCTGACCTGCTCCTGGCCAAACCTTCAGGAGAGTTATCCTGCTTTATAAATCCAAATCTGTCAACTCTCACAGGTGGAACTGGTCCTGATTCATAGTCATCTATTCTTTTCTTCTCCATCCCACCCCCTCATACCAGCTACCGCACCCCAAAATGCCAATAACACAACATTGTGTTCCATACATGGTCGCCCATTAGCCAAATTCTAAATTACAAAGCACAAAATCTGAAATGGGTACAAAAATAAAAATAAAATAGCAGTGGTTATTAATCTTAAGAAACAAGTGAACATAAACTGACACAATTTCAAATGACAAAGTATTGACAAACTGATGAAACTAATGAGTTTTGGGACAATGACTCAATTACATAAAGAGCAATGGAACCCTAATCCAGTAAAGTCGAACAATGGGGAGAAAACCACAATACCCATCCCAAAACAAAACAAAACAAAAATCTTTTGACTATGCTACTACAAGACAATATATATAATTTTCATATACTAACTACTATTGAACTGGTTTAATCAATAATTTAAATATGAATCAAACACCCAATAAATAGAATGCAACAGACTAATCAAAATATTTAGCTTCAATCAAAATACCCATGAAAGTAAACATTTTAAAAAGTAAAGCAATAAAATAAAAACCCATAATCGCTTTCAATTAACATGTTGTGGGTTCGGAGGAAGAAAATGTTGTGGGATAATTAGAAGTCTAGAGAGAGAGATAGGGGGAATTTAGATACCATGCAACCTATAATATCTAAAGATAAATTTGAGAAAGGGAAAAAAAACCAACATGTCTGACGATTTCTGAGAGGAGGGATAGGGGGTTTCGATCTGTCTTGCGACGGAGCCTTTTGGCTTGCGAGAAAATATGATTTTCTGAGAAAATGAGTCTTAAAGGAAATTTGATTGTTTTGCCATTTCAATTACGGGATATCGATGTAACCTGTATACGCTTGTTCCAGTGATGATTAACACCCGCATGAACGCATTTAGGTTTTACGGTTGAATAAAAAAAGTAGCAAATTATCTACTAACCATTTTAAAATTAGACTGGTTTTGGACCTATGGTCCACGAACAAGAACCAAATTTAGAATCCAATCCTGCAATCATTGGGTTGCAGTCTTGTATTATGATGTACTGAAGGTTACTCATTATTTTGTAATTGACAAAAAAAAAAAATCATTTTGTAATTCATGGAAAATTACAAATTCTTATTTACCGAAAAAAAAAAAAAAAAAATTCTTCTAGCTGAAGTTTACCATTTTAACCTTTAGGCGTGGTAAATGTAATTCTTAAAGTTTACCATTTATCCTTAAAGTTTGAACAAATTACATACGAATAGACCATTCAGAGTTTATTATTACTTTGCCCTCCTAAACTAGTTCACCAGCTGTCCGAAAATGATTTTGAGTGTAAAAAATCAATAATGACAAAATAAAAAATAATAAAGTGAAGGAAAATTACTTTTACATCCCCTGAAGTATGAACAAATTACACATTATTACATCATTCAACGTTTATTACTTTGACCTCCTCTAACCTGGTTCATCGGTGGTCGAAAGATGACTTTGAGTATGAAAAATCAGTAATGGTTAATATGAAAATAGTGTAACTTGTCCAAACTTCGAGGGATGTATGTGTAAGTTACCTTATTGTCTTTTCATACAAGGAAATAGTAAAATTATCATTTTATAAAAGGTTAATTATACTCACAGCCCTAGAGATTTGCCCTTTTGACAACCAATAAAAGTTGACTCATTTTTTAACAATGACACTCCTAAGGTTTGATAAAGTTAATAATGACACCCCTACCACTATTTGACGCAAGGTAATTTGATCTTATTACCTTTTGACTTATGAATTAACCAATTTGAATAATGAAATTTCCATCTAATCCTCTAATATTATTTGATGCAAAACAAAAAACTACATTGCAATATTTACATATGTGTGTGTGTGTGTGCATGCACACATATTCTCTATTGTCTTAATCACCCACAATCGCTACCACCATCATCCTCACCCCCCACTAGACCTATTAATGGATCGGATTTTGATCAGAATCCGATCTAATTATCCGAATATGATTCAATAAAAAAATCTGATAATCCGAGGATCCAAATTAGATTATCCATTACCTTAACAAATTGAATGTAAACTATAGGTAATATTTGTGTATATATAGATATATATTTATTTATTACATTACAATATACAATATATAAATTATATATATATGAGTTATATATTATTAAATTTATACATATTAATTATCTATCATTATATTTATTCGGTTGCATAATTATATTATGCATCATCTTATATATTAACAATTCTCCACTCCATCTAAACTAATAATTAGATATGCTAGTGCATAAGATTTTAATCTGATTCCGAATCCGATCTAATCCTCAGGAATTGTGAGTGTAATTAACCATTTTATAAAACATTAATAGGTCGATCGGAAAGAAAATACTAAGGGTGTTGTTGAGTATACGGGTTAAAACTCAGCAAAGTTCAAAGTAATAAATATTGAACGGTCTACTCATAATGTGTAATTTATCTAAACTTCAAGAGAAGTTAGTGTAATTTAACCAAAAAAATATGATGTAAGTTAAAAATATATATATTTATTATTATTTGAGGTACATTTATAATTATACTCGTGTTATTGACACAAAGTTTTGATTGTTTAAAATTTTCCCATTGCATCATGTAATGGTCTCATAATTATTAAGGTTATAACTTATAATGTGTGTAAAGGGAAAAAAGTAAAGCTTGAATTATTAGTTATTGAATTTTGGGATAATTACATTGACCTCCCCTGAGGTTTCTTCATCATACATTAACCTCCCTTCTTATTTGCCAAATAACAATGACCTCCCCTGTTAGAGATGTTGAATGAACGGAGTTAACGGATGGAGTGAAATTCTGAAATTGCCCAGATTAAATTTATTTGTATTTTATTACAAAAATGACAAATTTTAAAAAGACAAAAAAGCCCATCTCTCAAATCCAATTCTCATCCTTCACCTAAGCAGACCCAAAATAAGTGTTCTGTGGTTTATAAATGGTAATGGACATTACAGTTGTAAAATTAAAGACTCAATCCCATTCATTTGCATTATTTGGAAATCCATGTAGATACGTGTTAGATTGAAAATCAATTTGCAATTCTATCATTTCTATGGTAGGTAACATAGGTAACTATGAACAGACCTATTTTTCTCACTCTATTTTGTTATCAAGCCTTGGAGATTCTGATTTTTGGTGGAGGGTCTAGTCATAGTGGTGGAAGTGTTAAAGCCATGTTCATTCATGTATATGTTCATTCATGCATCTATTATTGTACATGTATCAAGTGGATACATGTATCAAGAGTGTACATGTATCAAGTGTGTGCATGTATCATGTGTGTGGTTGAGATTGTCTTGAAAAGTTCAAAGGTCTATGGGAGAATAGTATATATAGGGTAAGGTATTTGTTGTTTAGATATGAACATAACAAAGAATTCAATTCAATACAATATTTGTTTCTCTCCTCTCTTCACTTAGAAATTATTTAGTTGGTTGAAACTATAGCCAACATAAGTGGTATCAGAGCTTGATTTCAATCAAGAGCAAACTGGGCATGAAGCTTATTGACGGGAAAACAAACCCCAAAGAAGAACGATTGTGACGGCGACTACATGCAATCAAAACCAAGGTGCCCATCAATCAGCACTTCCCATTTTTGATGGGGAAAATTATGATTTTTGATGGGGAAAATTATGATTTTTGGTATGTGAAGATAAAGACCATTTTTCTCTCATATGATTTATGGGATTATGTTGAAGATGAGTATGATGAATCAGAGGATACAACAACTTTGACGAATGCCGAAAGACAACAATTGAAAGATCATAAGAAGAAAGATGCAAAAGCTTTAGGCTTGATTCAACAAGGAGTTGCTGATACAATCTTTCCCAGAATTATCAATGCTTCTAAAGCAAAGGAGGCATGGGATATTCTTGAGAAGGGGTATAGAGGCAGCACAAAGGTAAGAACTGTAAAACTCCAATCTTTGAGAAGAGATTTTGAAAATATGAAAATGAAAGAAATGGAGTTGTTGAAAGATTATTTTTCTAAACTTATGGAGGTGGTAAATCAAATGAAGACCTATGGGGAAGATATTTCTAATCAAAGAATTGTTGAAAAAATTCTGATTAGTTTGCCGGAAAAATATGACTCTATTGTTGCTGTTATTGAAGAGACTAAAGAGCTTGAAAACTTGAGTGTTGAAGAATTGATGGGTTCAATAAAAGCATTTGAGCAAAGGTTGAGTAAGCGCTCCGAAAAGACAATTGAAAGTGCTTTTCAATCCAAGCTCAATGTTAGTTCCAGAAATCAAGAAAAATACCCATCAAGTTTTGATCGATCCAAAGGCGAATCTTCTAGAGGTGGAAGACACGGACGAGGAAGAGGAAGAGGAAGAAATTCAAGAGGAAGAGGAAGAAATAATTTTGAGAGAAGTGGAAATATAAAGTCCACTCAACAAAATTGTGGAATTTGCAAGCGAAGTAGCCATGTTGACAAAGATTGTTGGTTTTGGGGGAAACCTCAATGTTTCAATTGCAAGAAATTTGGACATGTTCAAAAAGATTACCGGTTGAAAATAAATCAGCAAGCTAATTTTTCCGAAGAGCAAGAAGGTGAAACGAGCATGTTTTATGCTTGTCATTCGACATCGGAACAAAATGATGATGTGTGGTTTCTTGATAGTGGGTGTAGTAACTACATGACCGGAGATAAAAACATATTCTTGGAGATTGATTTTTCATCCAATTCTCAAGTGAGGATGGGAAACGGTGCCTTGGTCCAAGCAAAGGGAAAATGTACTATTGCCATAGAGACAAAAAAAGGAAGAAAGCATATTCGGGATGTGTTACTTGTTCCGGATTTGGAGCAAAATTTGTTAAGTGTTGGACAGCTTGTAGAGCATGGGTACTCCATTCATTTTGATGAGGACTCTTGCAAAATTTATGACAAAGAATCCTATTTTCCATAGTCGCACAAGACATATTGCAATCAAGCATCACTTCATTAGAGAAGCCGTGGAGAATGAAGAGATTCAACTCATGTATTGTAAGACAGAAGACCAAGTTACGGACATTTTTACCAAAGTACTTCCAAAAAATAAGTTTGAATACTTTAGAGAATTGTTGGGTGTCACAACATGGCATTAACCGATTCTAGAGCCACGGGTGATCAAGTACGGGCACAGATTCGAGGGATACCAAACAATTAATAGGTAATTGAACACAGAATATAAAAACAAAATGAAATAAGATAAAATAATAATAAGCTGATAAGAATTCTAAATACGAAAAATCATTCAAATAAAATTTTAATATAATTTAAACCTTCCAAGTCTTACAACTTGGGAATCCACCAAGTGGACCCCTAATAATCTTCAACTGTAAATGAAATACAGAATTAAAACCCAAAACTAAAATAAGAAAGAAACTTCTATATAGTCGGAAGAGTGAGTGTCTGTATCTGCATCACCACGATCAAGCCCTAAGCTTGGTAATACGCAGACACATCCTAGATAGCTCGGCAATAGCTAAAATAATCCATATAGATATAGATACACACTATAGGACGTTCACTAGTCCAATAGGTCTGTCTCAGCCTGAGTAGAGATACCATGCAAATCGCACATACTGTGGTCATGCGTATCTAGACCTACCAGGGAACAACACGTGTGTCCAGTTATCCATCCTAGGCGATATACGCACCCTAACCATGATCCTGAGACTCAAGCTCATACCATGACACCATAATAATATGTATATAAAGTCCGTATACTTCTAATACAAAATATTATCCATCTTTTATAGTGGTCTGATATAAGTATAACAATCCATCCGGAAACCAAATTAGGTCATTCAATTCATAATTGATATGACACAAATATGAGTGGAACTGAACCTTTATGGTAAATTCACACCTCAATCCAGAATAGGTAGGTTATAATGTTTGAACTAATCCATACCTAGTATGCCACCGTCCCATACCGGTGCATACCATCCTCCATCCAATATAGTTGACAAATTAATAATAAATATTCATCAACCATACTCCAAAATAAACATAAATACAGTCTATTATATGTATGACCAAATTATTCATCCAGTATATGATTATAATCATAAAACTTCCATTTAAATTGTTAAAGCATTGATAGACAATTTAAACCATCCATATCCATCCAATTGACAAAACAGAAATTTTAATAGTTCATCAATTAACACCCACACCATGGTATAATGACTATCAGAAATATGAGCTGAGCACATTATACTAGACATCCCTAACCATACTCTCATACTAGTTCATTTATATTATTAAAACAAAGACTAGTAATGAAAATCCTTCTTAATCCTTGACGACATGAAAATTATCGTTTCATTACTTAACGTCCTTTTTAATCCTCCATGTTAAAACCTGTGTTTGACATAATATGTCAACTAAGAAGTCTCACAACACATTATATACAACCCCAATGGTATTTTATACTTACCAAAATAAACTAGTTAAAACAAACCGGCAAATAAAACTCCTCCACTCCTGACAGCATGCAACAATGTATTTAAATTACATGACGTCCACAACCACAACCCAACCAACCCTCATGGAACTTAAATATATCACAAATATCTTTGGTACAACATCCCTAAAATATCTTTCAATTCAGTCCATTCAATTGGCTAACCAAATTAGAAATTTAAGACTTTCTCCTTCCTGGACAACATGCACATTAATTTTTTTTAAAAAAATTCATGATGTCCATTTATATTAACACACTAGCATATACTAACTATTTTATGGTTTTAATAGGTTAATTTTAAACATCTAAAACCCCACGCTACTTTTCATTAATTTCATTTAAGCCCCTGAAATCAAAAAAACCACAAAAACCCACGTACTGGGCATTTAGCAAATTAGAGCCGCCTCCAATTTTAAGTTGAGCCGGCTCCAATTTTAAGTTGAGCCGCCTCAACTCTTTGTGGAGCCGGCTCCACTTCAATGGAGCCGCCTCCATTGAAGTGTGGAGCCGCCTCCACTTCCCCAGCCTCCGTTTCTCACTCTCTGCTTCCTCTGTTCTTCGTCTTCGCTTCCAGCGGAAATTCCAATTGTCTGTTCTAAGTTTCTTAAGAATTTTCAAGGTTCAATTTAAGCCCAAATACTCCTAGAAACTTCTCCAATTCCATTATGAATTAATTGACAAAAATCTAAACTGAAAATAAAAACAGTTTATGTTTCTCTGTTCGTCTTCCTTGATTCCGGTAAAGTTCCATCCTCTATTCCAAAAGTTTTCTTAAAGTTCCTAAGGTGCAAGATAAGTCCCAACAGTCCTAGAAACTCCTTACATTCCTTTATGAATTAATTTACCAGAGTTTAAAACATAATCCAAACAGTTTATGCAAAGAAAGCAAATCTGAGTTATTTATACGTTAATTAGTTTACAGCCCCGCAAATATACATCAAACACCAGTTTTAAAAAAAAATTAATTAATTCCTGGAGACTATATAGAATGCACAGAACACAAGTTTACAGGAAGGAGATAGAATGAAACTTGCCTTTAAATTTCAGTTTGAAACCTTACAACATCGTCTATGGAGTTTTCGACAAACGGACGACCGGCAACCTTCCTACTGCTCAGTTCCAATACCACAATCCATCCACTCCTTCCTCCTTGATACGACCTTTAGGTCACGGTTGAACTCCTAACTGGTGGCCCATATAGTTTCCTCTCAAAACCATAATGTGTGCCTCTGTTTTCTCTTTCAAGAATTCTTACGAGCACAAGTTTTTTTTTTTTTAAACCCTAGCAAACTTGTAAAGTTAAATATATAGGCTACCATAAAAACTTAACCCTAATTCCAACCTCCTATAAGTCGGCACCCATAATTACATAATCGTAACACCCTAAACCTAATTAATTAATTACATGTAAAACAAATAAGGAAAGCAAATAAATAATACTCAAAACACATAAATAAATTCAAGAAGGAAAACAAATAAATAATCACTCAAAACACATAAATAAATTCAAGACAATAAATAATTAAATACATACCCACTATTCACAATTAAACAATATTAATTTAAATACACACTATTAATCACTTACGAAAAACAAAACAACTAAATCATATAATTAAATCAATTAATCAATACAAAAAAATTAAGTAAATAAATAAATAAAAATCCCAATTTTATCCTTTTTAAAACTAGGGGTATTACAGGTGTGTTAAAAATAATTAATGCCATGTTCATTCATGTATATGTTCATTCATGCATCTATTATTGTACATGTATCAAGTGGATACATGTATCAAGAGTGTACATGTATCAAGTGTGTGCATGTATCATGTGTGTGGTTGAGATTGTCTTGAAAAGTTCAAAGGTCTATGGGAGAATAGTATATATAGGGTAAGGTATTTGTTGTTTAGATATGAACACAACAAAGAATTCAATTCAATACAATATTTGTTTCTCTCCTCTCTTCACTTAGAAATTATTTATTTAGTTGAAACTATAGCCAATAGGAAGGTGGCAACGGGTCCATGGTTTGGTGGCGTTGAAGGTGGGATTGTGGGAAAATATAATTGGGTGTCTAGATACGGCAAAGAAGAGAGAGAGATTTAATAGGGACTTCTAGGTCTAGGTTTGTGCTGGAGTTAATGGAGGTTTTTTGTCATCGGAAAATGTTTTTTGAGCTATTCTTGCCGATATTGTTGCTGTGGTTTGAGGCTCCACTCCCGTCGACTTCAATGGAGACTTCTAGCTGTGTCGATAGTTTTATGTCGTTGCCAGTGCGATTTAACCAGGACTACAAGCTTCACCGCAGGTAAGACGTTATCCTTGCCGATTGTTCAGAGTTTTTGAACGCCATTCATCACCAAGCTCTCACTCGCCTCCGTTCTTTATGCTTGCAGGTAAGAGCATCGTCGCAAGTCCATTGTCGACATTTCAGTCTCACCTTTGCTCACCTTCACCATTGGTTCATCCCTGCCGCTTCAGCGTCGGCATTTGGTCAATCCGAGCATCCGTTTCCAAACGTCGTTCCTCGCCTAAGTCAGCTCGGGAACTGAGGAAATAGAGTAGAGAGAGAGAGAGATAGAGAGAGAGAGAAATTGGAGGGGGGAGAAATAATTATAGGGTATTTTAGACACTTTAGTTGCTTTATTTGCACAGCTTTAAAGGGTATAATAGGAATTTGAGAATTAAAAATTGATGACATCATCATTTTTCGTAAGTAACAGTGCTTTTCATTAACAGAGGGGAGGTTAGTGTTATGAGTATGCAAACCATAGGGGAGGCTAGTGTTATTTGACAAACAAGAGGGGAGGTTAGTGTATAATGACGAAACCTAAGGAGAAGTCAGTGTAATTATCCCTTGAATTTTTTATTAAATTTTTTGCAGGTGGACATTACATTCTAGCCTTTAATTTAAATTGAAAAATGGAATATCAAGACCTTGGCTCTAATTTTATTATCTTAGTAATTTTTTTTTTTTTTTAAACCCAAAAGTAGTACGGAATATATTATTAAGAAATTATAGATGAAACAGCACTGTTCAATACATCAATAAGCTAATAAGGTCAAATTTGCCCACTTCATGGGCAGTGAGGAAGCAGGAATTTTTTTTCGGAGCACATTGTACACTAAACACATACAAATTAGTGTTTATAGAGTATATATATAGAAGAGAGACATGGATGATTACATAGAGATTGATATTTTTGGGATGAGGTAAATTAATAAATTAAATATAATGAAACAATTTTTAAAATAATAATAATAAGGAAACATATATATAGTATACAGGGGAAAGAGAAATTTGAGGGGGGCGGGGGGCATTTTTACACATTTCTAAAAAATATATACATATTATAAGAAAATATATATAAAAAAATAAGGGAAGGAAAAAATCCAGAGGGGACACGTGCACCTGGTCCTATGCTGCCTCCATCCCTGTTCATGGGCATCCTAAGTTACAAATTATGGGAGCCCATCTCACTTCAGAAGATAGAAACAACTTGATGTCTTCCAAGATGGGATTTGAAGATTTGAAATCTAAAATGTATGTAGATAAGTATCCCTAGTAAGCAATTTCAATCCCTCTAAATGACCATTTGAACCAGAATCCTCCTGATTTTTTTTTTTACTTTGGAAGTAATATTGTGTTTGATGTGCAAAAATGGAATGAAATGTAAGTGGGAATGAAATAGTCATTCTCATTCTATTATTTGGTTACAAAAATGAAATGTGTACGTAGGAATGGAATGATAATAACCATTATAGTATTTGGTAATTTAAAATTTAGAATGAAATGAATTTAAATTGAATTCTCCAAAATACCCCTTTTAGTGACAAATAAACTAAAATAACAAAATAATATTTTTCTATAATTTTTTAAAAGAAATGGTGGTGGTGCTGGATGGCGGTAAAGATGGTGGTGGAGGTAGAAAGCGGTAGTGGTGTTGGAATGCGGCGACGGTGGTGGCAATGGTGGAAGGCGGCGATGGTGGTGGCTGCCAATGGTAATGGTGTTGGTGGAATGTGGTGGTGGAAGTAGTGGTGATAGTGGTGGATGGCGTCAGTGGGGTAGGCGATGATGGTGGAATGCAGTGCAGTGACAGTGGCAGTGGTGTGGTGGTTGTGGAATGCGGCAGTGGTGTAAGTGGTGGTGGAAGGCAATAGAGGTGACGATGGTGGTGGTGTGGAAGACAATGGAGGTGACAATGGTGGTGGTGTGGAAGGTAGTGGAGGTGACGCTGGTGGCGGAAAGTGGTGACAACGATGGTGGTGGAAGGCAGTGAAGGTAAAAGGTAGTGGAGGCGGCGGCAATATGGTGGTGGTTGTGGAAGGTGACAGTGGTGTATGTGGTGGTGGTGATGGTGACAATGACGGTAGTGATGGCGGTAATGGTGATGGTGGTGGCGGCAATGACGGTGGTGGAAGGCAATGGAAGTTGCGGTGGTCGAATGTGGTAATGGTGGAAGATAGTGGCAATGGTGAAAGTTGGCGGTGGTGGAAGCAGTGGAGGTAACGATGTGGTGGTCGAAGGCAGCAACATTGGTGACGGTGGCAGTGACGGTGGTGAAAGGCAATAGAAGTGGTGGTAGTGAAAGACAACGGTGGTTGTAATGGCAGTGGGAGGCAGTGGCGGTGGTGTTTCTTGGATTTAGAATATGAAGGTTTTTTGGGAACTTGATTTTAAAAAAAAATAAAAATAAAAATAAATAAATAAATAAATAATGTGGAAATGAAATGGCCATTCCATAGGTTTAATTGTGGAATAAATTTTCATTCCAATGGAATAGCATCCCACTTTAAATTGTATACCAAACAAAGGAATGGCTAGAATGGCCATTCTATTCCATTCATGCACACCAAACGCAACATAGAAGATTGATGATTCAAGTCTATAAAGATAAAAAAAAAATAATAATAATAAAGGATTATGGTAATTTTCTCTTTCTCTTTGGTTTAAATGCGATAGGAGCTAATCTAAAAAGCAATTTGTTTGGTAACTTTTTAATGGGCATGTACATTTTTATATTCTCAGACACAAAAATAAGATTGTTCATGAAAATTTCAGGATTGGCTCGTTAAATTCATGAAAAAGTTTTGATGAGCCAAGCCTATGAGTCAAGTCCGAATCCGAATTCAACCTTTTGAACTCGTCACAATTTTGAATTGAGTCCACAAACAAACGAACCGAACCTAAACAAAGTTAAGCTTAACTAGGCTTGATTCATTGGCAGCCCTAGTCATGAGGAGGGAAAAAAAACCCTCTACCACTTGGAAAAGCCCGCTCAAGTGTGATAGCCATGCCCGTTGAGAAGAATTGTATGACTTAGCTTGCAACTCTCATAGAAGCAAAATGTCTCAATTCTGGCGGAATGGTAAAAGAATCCAATTTTCAGATGAAAATGGATTAATTGGTCTAAGCTTTGCTCTCCAAATAGAAAAGAGTATCTCAGATTCAAAGAAGAGCTCTTCAAACCAGTCCTAGCGAAACTTGGTTGGAGACTTCTGTTGGGATTTATATGCCCTGGCATAGCAAATTCCTATTTGGATTAAAGTGACATATGTTCCTGACATATCTGAAATATTTATGATTTATATAATTGGTGGATTCAATGTATTATGTTTCAATTTATTGTGGAATTGATAGTGTCTATTTGATTACAAGAGATATTTATATATGTATGTGATGGCGATCAATACATGAATATAAATGGTAATCATAAATGGTTCATAGTCAGTAATTATGGATGGACTTATAATTAATTAAGACTTGAACTGTATCCGCGTTAGGTTGAGATATATTGCAAGAACCGTCGTATGCAATTGCTCCCTATCACCATCATGGCATTTGACTCTTAAGTATGAGAAAATTATAGACTCTTTTATTAATTAATAATTACTTTGATTTGTTCGGCGGATTCTTCGGGATCCTTAGACCAACACTTTGGGTAGTTATGTAATTAATAGTTAGAGGGTTATATTTTTAATATTTGTATCATTGCTACTTGTATTTATTTTGTATTGATTATGGTTGATCACAAAATAAATTCGAAGGCCTTCGTGTGTTTTTAGACAAAATGATTTATTATATATTTATTTATTTAAATTATTATTTTTGTCAAACAAATGTTTTATTGTGATCGAGCCAGAAATAATCAATGGTACCAAAATAAATATATTAATTAAGTAGTCGAATTGATGGCTTTATTTGTCCGAAAACTAATTATACATAGAGGGGTCAAAGTGCAATATCGACTTAGAGGTTATTTATTATTTAATTGGAGTTCAATTAATTTCTTTTAGTGGAGTAGAAATTAATTTATGAATTGATTGAATTGGGTCAATGGACCAGGCCAATTATTAATTCATTGTAATCAATAAAATAATAAGCCCAATGGATTCTCACTCATAGCCCAACTTGATATTGGAATCATATTAGATTTGAGACATGTGAATTAGAGATTGAGAAGGATTAGTTGTTTCCTTTTCTTTACCTTTATGTTGCCTATAACTATACATGGTCTATGTATATTTTAGGGGTGATTTTTAGAAGAAGGAAAAAGGAATTTATTTCCTCTCTCTAGAAAATTAGGGTTTATGTTCTCATCTAATAGAGGCTCCCACAAGCCTAGTTTTCCAAGGTTATTCATGGAGGCTTATGAGTGATTCCTAAAGGCAAAACAATTACCAAGAAGATAGAGATCCAAGGAGAAGGCATCTTACTAAGGGATCTATAATAAGTGAGAACATTCACTTTAGAGGAAAGATTTAAAGGTTTACTCAGACCTTTGATGTAAGTATTCAATCTATTAATTGAATGATACATCATATTTTATTTTTACATAAAACTTGTCTCTATGTGATGAATCAAGATTTATGAATCAAAATCCCTCAAAAAGTTTTTAAAATTAGCATGTTTCCCAATAGTGGTATCAGAGCATGGTTTGATTCATTACTAGAGATCATGATTTTATGAAAATCATCATTCATGGATCCAAATATTATATATGCATATGTATATATTTTTATATGATTATGATGTATGTATATTTGTGATTGGATGAATGTTGATGTATGTATGGGCCATGGATGAAGCTTATAGGTTCATTGAATGTAATTTTATCTTTGGATGAATGTAATTAAGGCTTTGATTTAGCCGTTTGAAAGTTCAATGATATAATTTAATTTTTTCCATTGTATCTCAAATTGTAAATATTTTTAAAGCCATGTAATCTTCGTCAAAGGATGCTATGAAGCTTCAAGAAAGTCCAAGAGGGTTAAATTAGGCTTCAGGAATTTTCTGGGATTTTTTAGAAATTTTTCAGAATTTTTTCTAGAATTTTTAGAGCCTAAATTTAATTTTTTTGGAATTTTTTAAATTATTTTTCTGGAATTTTCGGTGATTTTTCGACGACTGGAGGGTCGCCGGAGGCGAGGCGACGTTGGAGGAATGTCAAATGATCACATGCTTCGCGGAACATAATTAAATGGTGCAATTGGAATCTCTACCACAGAATTACAATCAGCGAAGGGATTTATTCCATGTAGCGCAGCCCACAGTGCGCTCAATGCGCACCTAATAAACATGCACGTGATTCTCACGCGCAGAGGGAGCCGGCATTTTGTATGCAGCTGGCGCGTGGTCCTCACGCGCCAGCATGAGTTGACCCTTTGACCAGCGCGTGGTAGCGCGTGAAGCACGTGCCATGCGCCTATTGATCACCCCAACGCGTGCAGGTGCGTGGGGGACATGCTACACGCTCTCCTAGCGTGTGTAGGCGCGTGGGGACGTGCTGCTGCAACCCCAGGAGCGTGCCAGTGCGTGCAGGTCCCTACGGGCGCGTTCCAAGCGCTGTTTGGCTATCCCAGGTGCTGTTTTTGACCAATCCAGACGCGTACAAGTCTTTGCAAGTGTTTACAAGCCTTTGATTGTCCCTCACGCAATACTTAGAGCAATTAAATGTTAAAAGCTAAATTCATTGGCCATTTTTATTTGTTTTATCTGTTATTTATTTTTTTATTTGATGTATGGAATAATTAATTGTTAATAATTATTGTTCATGCATTGGATCCATGATATTTAATTAAATGACTTGATTTATATTAATTAAATTATGAAAATTAATTGGATTTAATTACTAATTAATTTGAGGCCACTTATTGGGAAACGAAAAATTATTTTTGTAAATTATTTTTATAGTGTGCTTCAAACTAAATATTAGTGAATCATTTAAAGTCCAAATATTTTCTAAATTTAATTGGATTAAAATCAAGACATTTTGCATGCATTATATCATGTAAATGAATAAAATGAAAATCATAATTATGAATGATTAAAAATTGAGTGGGAGCGGGGATTTTTATACATTGCCCCATGGCTTTCGTTATTAACACCATTGTAACTAGATCTTCAAAAATAAGGCCCCACGCATGATTTGAAGAGTCTTAATATTACAAGAATGGTTGTCTCATGAAAATAAAAATATTAAATGTTCATTGTAATTAGATCTTTAAAAATAAGGCCCTACGCATGATTTAAAGAGTTTAGATTATAATGACAAGATATTTAATGTTTTATTTTTCATTAGAGCTTTAATAACGTTATACACTCAATCTAAAATCAATAGTGTTAGCTCCCAAACGGAGTGGTCTATACTAGGTGATTTTAGAAAGGTTAAACATAATCGGGAATCATTTCATATAGATAGACAAGGCATTGTCTTAAGAGATATGGAGATGATGGGATTTGCCCGCCAATAACAATAATAAACTTCGCCAACCGAATAAGTTATTGGCGTATTGGTTATCCGATTTTTCATGCAGTGGTTAAGGGACCCACATATTATTATGGAAGTGCTCACCTAATAGCAAATGAATCTCTATAATAGTAATAATGAACTCCTCCAACAGGATAAGTTATTGACATATTGATTGGTTGATTTATTATGTTACAGAGTTGAGGGACCCGCATTAATTAAAAGAGATTGTTCACCAATAATGATAATGATCTCTTATTCAATTGAGATTTATTATATTATGTGGCTAACAAACTCATTTTAATTTTAAATATACATGATAGTATTAATAATTCACCTTACATATTGTATGAATGCATTTATATTCAGATTAATTATGTCTAATCCATGTTATCTGCTTGCTAACATATTCAATGTATGTGGACCTCTTTTATAATGACTGGATAAGGAACTTAGATATTTTATTCACAACGTAAGGGTACAAAATGTATTTAATACTCCTATACCTAATTCCTTTATTTTAAGATACTTAATGAGATGTTTTAGTGAGATTAGATAGGGTATATGCCTAAGTACTGTGTCAAATTTAAATATCATCAAGATAGCCTGAGGAACTCCAGTTTGATATCGGATTTTGAAAAATGATTATTTATTATTTAAAAATTGAACTGGAGGTCAATAGGACTGACTTGAATGGTAAGTTTCAAATTGACATGATTATTGCCTTGTTACCAAAGTGGTTCGGTTTTTCCAGAGTGAACTAAATAAGGAATCAGTTTGAGTTCAC